TCATGATGATGAAGGGTTTAGGTATTTTAGCGGCGGCATAAAAGAATCAACCCGTGTTATCCCGTGTGTGTCGCAGGGGGCAGTAGAAGGAAACTAAGTCAGGAAATGGGCCACAACATCCTCCTGATAACAACATATTGTAATTAAACTGCCGACTAGCAAGGCTGCCAACCCGCCTATAAGCGTAGGTACTATGGCAAATTTCCCCCCATAAGCAACGACATAAAAAATGGTCCTGAGTCCCTGGTGGCCCAGCTGTTCAGTGGCTACCATGGCGGTTATAGCATGGTAACGAGGAGGAAGACGGTGTTAAGAATCTCCCGTGCAGGTTCAGTACCTTGGACGACTCGATCTAGCAACATTTAACATAAGTATCCTGAGGACTGATGAGAAGATACTGGAAGTAAAAGAAGAGATAGACAAGTAGCGCTGGGATATTACAGGATTATCTGAAGTTCGAAGATAGCAAGAGGACTCGGTAATTTTCGAATCCAGTAACTTGGTCTCTCTATCACCGGGAGACTATCTGTCCCAAGGCGTCAGATTTATCGTTCACATACGCTCATTAACAGCTTCGTAAAATCAGGAGTGCGTCGACAAGGGTTGTGAACCTTATACTTAGAATCACAAAATGGTATTCATTGAAGGTAATACGTTGAGGGTTATTGCACCATCTTTGGTACATCTCGATAAGGAAATAAAGGCGATTTCTAAGGACATTTCTACAGCCATGTATTTCGACAAAATCCCCAATATATGGTGTTAATAAACTTACTAAAAGCTAAGGTCAAAAAAGTATGATGAGCCTTTTGCATGCCTTAAGCGCAAAGCGCGTAGATACGTTCTACGAGCGCCTAAAAATCCAGATTCCAACGTTTTATCGCATAAAATCGTATCTAACAATCATATTGAACGTATAAATGATATAAAAAGCAAATTGTCAGACAGATAAATGATTGTTGAACTTAGTAATATTTTTTTAAATCGATTAATTGCAATTGTTACATAAAAAATGGTTTAGTGGTTTATGGTGTAGATTTATCAAGTCCGCATTGAGTGGTAAACACGTTAACTTTTGAAATGTCAATTGTTTAACACAATCTATTTTTTAATCTCTTCATCTATCATGTGGAAAGCCATGGAATGTAAATGGCAGTTTAATTTTTTTTGTTTAGTTATAATTAATTTTTTTCGATGTAGAAATCCGGAAATTTTTGGTGTTTTAGCAGCTTGGTAATAATTTATTTTACTAAGTAGACTGCCTCACTCACTCACTTTGGCGTCAGCCGCCGTTGTGAGTGGATACTGCATCGGTTGTTTGCAGCGGCTAAAAAAGATGGCTTTGTACAGCTTTATACAAAATATTCGAAATACCAAATTTCATACATATTTGATTATTATAATAATCAGGGATTTTTATTACAATAATTTAAAAGCACAGAATAAATAATAGTACTACGTACCAAAACTAAGTAGGATTCCGAGAGTCCGAGACGTATTTAAGTATATTTATACTTAAATACGTCTCGGACTTCTTGGAGTGACCTGAATGATGATATGATGATCATATGAGCATCATGAGTCGTGCACTTTTGGATATTTCCAAACTTTTTTTTAAATTGAAGTTTGACATAAAATTATACGAAAATTGGAAGTGTAATAATAAGGTTATTAGTTAAAACTTGTGTGAATTTAAACTACTTTAAAAATCTACGTATAATCATGTTTACGTAATTTTTTTAATGCGCTTAGGGCATGCACAAGTGGATTTATCAATAGTTTTTTTTTTTTACCTTTTTGCCCAGAATTTTGAATACTGAGTTCATGAAGAAAGAGGGACTCGTTAAGACGAAGTAGGTGAGTGTAGAAAACCGTAGACCCTTTTTACTGGCAATAAGGCATTCAACCTTAGTCCTAAGGGGTGATAACGCATTGGCATTTTAATTCTTAGTGTAGATGTATATAGGTCACAGCATCCACTTACCATTTATCAACCTTATTCTATAAAAACAAAACTCTTAATCTCATGGCTGTTAGGCAGAAAATGAATCTGCAGCCTTCAACAGATATGACAGTGTGCAGTAGGGTTGCCACCTTTTTTTTTAAATAAATATAGTATTTTAGCCAAAAAAGACAAAAATATAGTGCTTTTGAGAAATTCAGGAAACAAAGTACACATTTATTTTGAATCTTTATGTATCTTTATTTTCCATATAAATTTGTTATTACTCTCCGCTTTGGCCATCAACCTTTAAAATAGTTATAGGAATCTGAGCAATTTAGATTTAAAATATTAAAATAAATGAACAATTCATTTTTAATTAAATTTATTATCTATTTCTTTTTTCTTTCCATTTAACATTCATGACGGAGAAATTCTTTCCGTAAAACTTACTTGTTCCAGACTTCCAGTCACAGTTAATATAAAAAACGCAACATTTGAATTAGGGGAAAAAATATAGTATTTTTCGTACTATATTATTTTTCTATAATATATAGTACAATACACTGAAATATAGTACGATACTATATATTATATCACGGGTGGCAACCCTAGGGTACAGGTAACTGAATAGACATATCTCCAAATACATGCTTCATAAACCTTGGCTCTAAAGGGCTTAGTCTTGGAAGATTTGTCTGTCAGAAACAATCCAATCATTTAAGTTAAAGACCAACTGTGGCATTGTCATTTCCGGGTGACGTGAGATTGAGAGGATTTTTTTTTATAGAAGAGGGGGCAAACGTGCATGCGGCTCACCTGATGGTAAGTGACTACCGCCGCCCATGAAGAACCGCAACATCAGGGGAATCGCAGATGCGTTGCCGGCCTTTTCGAAAGGTGTAAGCTCTTTTCTTGAAGGTTTCTAAGTCGTATCGGTCCGGAAAAATCGCTGGTGGTAAAGATTTCACAAGGAAGTTGTGCGAGGGAGAAAACTTCTTCAAAATCGCACAGTGGTGGACCGAGAATCATCCAGATGGTATGGATGATATCGCGAGTTTTGTCGCGATGTGCGATGGTGAAATTGAGCGACTGGAATTAGTCCGAACAATTCCTCATAGCACTCCCTGTAATAGATGCGATAAAATACGCAAAGAGATGCAACGTCTCTACGCATTGCCAGTGTATCGAGCCGATATGAAAGAACTCGGTGGTCAACGATTCGAACCGCTCTGCGCTGGATGCGGTCAAGTGGAAGGAGCTGGCACTGGGGTGCCCCGGCCCAGAGATGAGAACAGTATTCCATGTGAGCCGAACTTGCGTTTTGTAAAGTTGCAAGCGATGTGCGGACATGAAATACTGTCTCGCTCTGCTGAGCACGCCAAGCTTTTTAGAGGCCAATTTGGCCTTCCCTTCCAAGTGATCACGAAACTGTACACTATTCGATATGTCGACACCGAGGATTCCGATGCTAGCTGAGGCAGCAAGGGGAGTGCCTTGAAACTGAGGAGATACGACAAAGGGGTTATTTTTAGCGGTAAACGAGCAAACTTGTGTCTTCTGGCGATTGAACTGGACTAGATTTAGTCGCCCCCAATCCGAGACTTTGTTCAGCTCTCTCTCTCGACTTTCAGACACAAGTTTGTCCCGGTACTCGGCGACGTTTTCCCGAGAAATATTGGCACGGCCGGTATATAAGGCATCACCAGTGCTGTCGTCTGCATAGCAATGAATGTTACCAGTTTGCAACATATCATTGATATGCAAGAGAAACAGCGTTGGTGATAGCACGCAGCCTTGTGGAACACCAGCATTGATAGGCTTCAAATCAGAGCATGCACCGTCTACTACGACCTTGATGCTCCGATCAACAAGGAAACTGGTGATCCATTTGCACAATTTCTCGGGAAGCCCATAGGCAGGACGCTTCGAAAGAAGCGCTTTGTGCCAGACCCGATCGAAGGCCTTCGCTATGTCCAAATTAACGGCCAACGCCTCCCCCTTGGACTCTACTGCCTCCCATCTATGAGTCAGGTAGACCAGAAGATCACCAGCTGATCGACCCCGACGAAAACCGTACTGGCGGTCACTAATCAGCTGGTGATCCTCAAGGTACCTTATGAACTGGCAGTTTAGAATGGATTCCATTATTTTGGAGAACAAGGAGGTGATGGCCTGTATTTGGACGGGTCTGAGCGGTCGGAGCGGTAGGAGTACCGGAAAAGACGCGTTAAAACCGGTGCCAACTCCGGAGCACACGTCTTCAGCACAATGGGAGGGACTCCATCGGGCCCACTCGACTTGCTGACGTCCAGGGAGAAGAGTGCTTTGCAAACCGAGCGCTGTGAAACTGCACATCATGTTCTACAGACAGCTGTACAAACTGTTGTTAGAGCAAATCGCAAGAGTGAGTAATGATCCAAGGGCAAGTCTCACCCGACACTATTCCAATAGTATCCCCGACGTCAGTCCGAGTGAGATTAGAATGGTTCTTCAGCACCTTGAAAACAGAAAGGCTATGGGTGTGGATGGAATTACAGCAGAGCTTCTGAAAGCGATGGAAAACCAGTACTGAAATTATTTAGAGGCTGATCAATTCCGATCTCCATGGTAGCTCTACTCTGGATGCATAGAAAGTGATAACGTCAGTAACTCTATATTGAAGAATTATAGACCATAGACAGACATAGGGCGGCCCTCCACTAGATGAAGTGACAACTTGGTAAGACATGCAGGAAGTTGATAGATGCAGGTGGCTCAGGAACATGTTTTGTGGCATTATTAGGGGAGACCTATGTTCAGCAGTGGACTTGTGAATATGTATTAATGATGAGGTTGCTATGGGTGATAGGAAAAGTGAAAATACTTATAATTAATAAAAGTAATTTCAATAAAATTGTTTAATAATTACAAAATTACTTTACTAATAGTCGCAATAAATAAGAGTAAAAAAACTTTAACGCAAAAATATCGCCATAAGTAGCGCCAAAATTTAATAGCTTATAAAACATTAATTGATGCTATGAAGCTTTTAGAATAAAAAGAAAAAGTATCATACCTGTTTTCTAGAGAGTCTTGTAGACTGGCTGCCTTGTATAACAATGTCATTCACTGTCACATCAAGCCTTTGCTCCCAGCCTTGCATAATAGATTTTCCCTCTTCACTTTCAATAAATTGTTGTAAATGTGCAATACATGGCCCGGAATCAAAGTAAATGAAGCACAAATTAACTTTGTGACAAGAAATTTTTCCTCGGTCATCCAAAGCTAATAATAGTTTATGCTTGTACAGCAACTTATTGACACTACCTAAGCATTGCTCTAGTCCCTTGGACAATCTTAGTTTTATCCACATACAAAGAAAAATAGCCATTGCATTGAGTACTAACCATAATACTCCCAAAGAGAATAGAGTTAAGCCTGTTAAACCAGAAAAAAGTAAAGACAGCAGCACCAAGAATGCAAGTGTTATCCAACAGACTAATACTCGTTTATAACAGATATTGTAAAGAGTAAAACGGGCATCATTTACAAGTAATTCCATTGCATGAACATATTCTTCCACAGTGAGCTGAAATAAAGGAGTTTGACATGTTAATGCATCATATAATATTTTTATTCTTTTATGCCCAACATAACACTACTTAAAATAAGCTTGGAATAATATGTAATCAAATTATGTAATATTTAATTAAAACTTTCATATAAAATTATGTAATATTCTTTGGTTGATACCACAATTTATATGACTGTTGACTAGCAGCTGCCGTTGCCCATAGACACATGTATCCTCGATTATGTATCAAAATGTAGATACATTGTCACCCTTGTAGACAAAGATAAAATGTCTGATTGTCATTAAAAAGGATCTTTGGTTTTCTACACTCACTAATGAAACACAGGGACTATAAACTGCTATTTTACACTAGTATTCAGTGAGAGAGAGAGAGAGTGTATGTGTACACTCAATGTACACATACACATTGAGTATGATTGTAATAATCAAAGTGCAATTGCAGTTGTGCTAGTAAAACAATATTACCGATAAGTAAACATAATCACCATCATCATCCTTACAGCCCTTCACAAGTCCACTGCTGTACAGGAATGCACAAAAAATGCATCCATTAACTTTCTGCATGTCTTACCCGGTGATCACTCTATTTAGAGGGGAGCCGCCCAACACTTCACTTATCAGTATGAGGCTGCCACTTGAGAACATTTCTTCTCCATCAGTTGTCAGTTGAATTGAAAGTCATGTTAAGACGCAAATATCCTACTAGTAATTTAATTATTTAATAGCCCAACAGGTAAAATAATAGCAAAAATAATATATGAATTAGGCACATACTGTTAAACCCTGGGCCATAAGTTCTTCAGGAACTAACTCAGGTCTGAATCGTGCTGCAGTTATCCATGGCCAGTTAGTGTTTACTGGCAAAACTGTTACCAGCAAGTCACCATTTGCTATGAAAATACAAATAATTTAATAAAGCCAAAAAATTAAAAGAGTAATTTTTTAACTTTAACACAATCAGAGATTTGTTCTATTATGTACAAAGTAAACAATGCATACCTTATACTTGGAAGTTCTATACTAGACTAAGTTTTAAAAGAAAACACACATTTTATATTTTAAAAGCTGTGATATCTAATGCTAGTTGTAGGAAATATCTTAGGGATTAGATATATCTTGTAGGGGTAGGAGGTCTTATTTGAATCATGCTTTGGACAAGTTATGAGGAATGCAAAAACTGTTATGTTCCAATCGACCAGTATAATTATAGGCTATAAAGCATTCCACCTTAGTTCCCAGAGCATATCTATCTTTAGCATTCTTTGTTGAAGTTGGTTACAGGTGTTCTTAGGATGCAGTAACCATTAGGTGAACTGTAATAACAAAGATATAATAGAAAAGTGAAACATTCCTATTTAGGCATAAACTACCCTTAAATCATTTTTTTGTTATTTATTCCTTACAATATCTTTATCTATATAAAATTCTACTGTTTGTGTGTATGAGACTGAACTCCTAAATGGCTGGACCGATTTTTATGAAATTTTATATGTGTAATTAAGTTGATTTCAGAATTATTTAGATTCACACCCATGTGAACTGTGTATATGGCTCTGTTGTCGTGATCCAAAAATCACAAATGTGAAGCCTGGGTATATTACTTTATATTATCTTTGTCAACATTTATATTGTGATCAATTGGCAGTCTTCATATTTAATATTGATATTTTGCTACTCTTTATACTAGACATGGGACGAGTACTCAGTTTGGATTCGGTACTCGGCGGATTCGGCCTTTTTTTATGGTTCGGCTAAGCACCAAGTATTAACGGCCGAGTACCTAGTACTCAGCCTTAATTATATTCCAGAGAAAAATAGACAAAAAACCAGTTTTCATCATTATTATTATATTAGACATATTAAAACATCAGGAACATGAGAAGCAGCAGAAATATTTAGAACGTACATAAGAATCCATAAAATAAATTATTATTACTAATATTTAAAATTTAAGAAAGGAAGATTGTGATGAAAAAACACTAGTTTTTCGGCCTTATTTTGGGTCTAGTTTGTAAGGGAAATAACCGTACGTCGCCAGCTACTGCGTTTTTTTAAAGCCAAGTATTCAGCAGAGTACTTGGCCCAATCTAGGCCGAGTACCCGGTGGCCGAGTACTCGGCGAATCACTACTCGTTCCATGTCTACTTTATACTGTAATTGATATTAAAACTTGTTGGACTTATCAGACAAAATGTGTTGCGTCATAAGAATTTATAATTGCTTCACTTTCGTGTTTTCTTTCATTGACATATTTGATAACAGGAAAACTAAGAGTAAGAATTAGATATTATATTAAATAAGTAGAAATAATGTAACGTAATTACATAAAACATTTGTAGAAGAAACCTATAATGTAAATAAAAAGACACAAGTGTTTTAAATCTATAATAATAGTACATTTCCCTTAATTAAAAAAAATTACAAATAAATATATGAAAAACTATGTATTTCCACCATATAACATTTTAGGAATAACAAAGGAGAGATACTTTTCATAAAAAATTTGCACCTACAAATAGTTTGTAGTTTTGTACAGTAAAGTCTCTACAAGCTATTATTTAGTGCGGAAATAGAATCCACGCCCTGCAACGGCGCCTCCAAATGCATTGCTCGGTCCTACTAAGCGGAGTTGAATGTTAATGAGTAAAAGTAGAATTTATATAATGTAAATAATTTAAACTATTAAAAACACGGACTTGTCAAAACTAAGTTTGAAAAAGAACTTCAAACACTTACAAAAACCAGGGCGTATGTTAACGAATTCTACGTTTTTTGCAGCAGTTCCATGGCTCGTAGATTCAATATTTTTATCCCCTCTTTCTAAGTTAACGTGCACAGATTCAGTCTTTAAAACAGCAGGAACTTCTTGTGGTAAAGATATAGAAGTACTTGGAGCTGAATTATTAGACACTTTTTCATCCGGTGAAGATACATTTGTTTGTAGAGATTCATCATCGAATTTTACCCACGTCTTTCGATTACTATCTTGATTTATATTACCATTTGCTTCGATTGTATCTGTATCTTGTTTGCCGTTCATTTTAGTTACATAAAATTAATAAATAATATAGGATTTATACTCCAAACAAATTCTTTACAAACTTTAGATTTTTATTTTAAAAGTTAATGATTCTTTACATGAAAAATAGTTCTAAATAGTATATCTAGTATCTACATGTCAAAGTCATACTGCCTTATAGAGTATATTATCTATGGTCATACACAGATCATAGATTATTAAGACCATGGACTTAGAATACACTGGCGTATATAAACTTATACTTACTTAACTTATACTGGCGTATATAAACTAATTACTAATTATAGAGGACCTGACAGCCCGAAAACGCTTGACCGTACACAGAGAAATATAGACACGTGACTAATTTTGATTTGTCATTGTGTTCGTTAGCTAGTTATGTACATTTTACTTACAAGAACTATCGCAAAATGATTGTTAAGGAAGCGGTAAAAAGATTTAAACAAATTGTTTAGTGTACGAAATTGAATAATTTCAAAAATTAACTGAATTTTTACCATGATAGTTCTAAAATAATAAAAAATATTCATATAATATGTTCCTGGGAATAAGCTAAACCTACCCGCCTTTTGTTGGATTTTATTTCAAATGTATAAAATCCCAGGTGACTCTACCGATAAACTTAAAAAAAACTCCCCAAGAATCAGATAGAAAAATTGTATTTTTGAGCTATGATCTTTAGAGAAAAATATTTACTGCCATGGACAGTTTCCACGGAATTTCTTTTTTAACATATTGTTAATATAAATAGGTAGATGCTTAACTATGTATCTACCTATTTATATTTTATATATGTTATAAAATGTTTTGATGGGAAAATAAATAACGGGGACACGGAGTACATAATAGCTGCTTTTTTTTACAAAAAATTCAAAATTAAATACATTATAAAAGTTTATTTTAAGATTCGACTTAAATATGAATGTAAACTTAATAATTTAAGTAAGGAAACTTGTAGAAATCACTTAAATAAGACTGCTCTGTTTAAAGTCCAATGTGTTTATAAGGCTTCATCATGCTTCATGTTTATATTCTTTCCTCTGTCCCTGAAAAATATAAAGTAATAATAAACTTATTATCATTTTAGCTGCATGAATTTTAAAAACATAATGATCTTAACGGAGTAAAGTGCACTAAGTTTCTGAGGATACATATGCACTCACAATCTCTGTATGTTAAGAGAATGGTCACTCATTCATGGACTGACCGCGGCAAGTGCAACTTAATATCGCAGATCTATCAAATAACACTGTAAGCGATGAACCACGCTATTTAAGCCCTCGGCACAATGTTATCGGTCATCAAGCATGAATCAGGCATCGAGCGTTGTATCAAATACTATGGAATTTGTACTATCGCGTCTCAAGCGTGTGTGAGCATTACTAAATATCTATTAATACTACTAAATATCGCTAAAAGTTATCATTGTGACTTGAAATAAAATCTGAACCTCCACTCAACTCTTTGGGGAAAATAGCGTGATGCTATGAATACTATAGTAGTGTGACCGTGAGGCTGTGCGGTTGGTCAAATAAGGTTATACATTTATTTTGTTTGATAAATAGATACTTTGTTAGCTTCGTAAAGGCTTAAAGAGGATAATCGCAAGATTTTTTTATTTTTAATGTACTACAGTTTTATAGTGTATAAAAATCTGTCTCTAATTTTATCTAAAGCTTTGAAAGTTAAATTATTAAAGTCTTATTATAACAATATTATACTTACTAGTACAAATAAAGTAGAAATGACTCCTTTTAATTAAATTATTTTTATTCTACTTTTTCATTTATACTTCTCAAGAAAATGTTTGCTGCAAATTGTTGAGTTGCTCTTTGGATTCCAAGCAACCCCTCTAATTAACCTTAACCATTTTTTCTAATTAAAGAATCCGGAGGGAATCTGTTTGACAATTCGAAAAATAAAATTACATTTTAGAACGCAAACCGAGGATTTATTTTCTTGTTAAATATAAATATCGACATTAATTTTGGTCCCATCATCAAAGGTATAGTTAGTACTATCGTCTGTCTTCGTTTTCGGAAGCGTTTCACAAACACCCGGTAAATACCTAGTCAGGTCATAAATTCTGTCACATGTTTAATATAAAATAATTGAAAGAAGTTTATTCATTATGTAACCATTTATATACCAAAATGAACTTAACAAAACATAGATTCTTATGACACTAAAGTTTATTCAAAATTACCTCCGTGATTTTTAATACAGGCCTTCAATCTGCGCGGCCAGTCGTCTATCGCAGCACGAACGAGGTCCATGTCAATATCGGCGGCTGCCTTAATCAAGGATGTCTTAAGTGACTCCAAATTGGGATGAGGCTTTGAGCACGCCTTTTCCTCCAAGTGTTGCCATATCTTGTAATCTAACGGATTCAAATCTGGACTGGAGGAGGGCCAGTCTTTGTGCCGGATGAAGTCGATTTCACGCGCCGCCAGCCAGTCTTGTGTGCTCTTCGCTCTATGAGCTGGCGCCGAATCTTGTTGGAATACCCAGTGCCTGTTATTGAACATGGTATGAGAAACAGGTTCCACAAGGTTCGTCAGGACTGTATTTTGATACACAACTGCATTCGTTTTTACACCTTTCTCACAAAAATGTACCTCTGTTAAGCCCCAATAAGAAACTCCCAACCATACCATGAGCGAGGATGAAAAATGACCTCGTTGGACACGCGGAATACGGTTGCTCGCTTCTTCACTACTGTGTGCGTACACCTTATCATTTTGTTTGTTGTAGCTCTCTTCTACGGTAAAAATTTTGTGCGTATCGACATCACATCTGTATTGATTCCCGGTTGGTTATACTGAGGCACATTACTATTATTGTTATATCGCTGCTGTATACCGAACTGTCGAGGACGCATCGAAGGTAAAGGCTGAAGACCTACAGGTATATATATCCAAATTAGAGTGGAATTGCATTTGATTGTTATCAGGTGGTGGACGATAATAATTTCAATACTGTTAAATTGTCGCTGCTCGGAAGCGGTATCTGCATCTGCTTATCCAATGGAATGCCAAAATTATATATATATATATATATATATATATATATATATATATTTTAATAGGATAAGGGTGACAAACGAGCACACGGTCCACCTGATGGTAAGTGGTTGCTGTGTATCTAGGTGATTGGTTCATTTTCATGTGCTTAAAACTAGACAAATGTTGAGGTAGAGTGTTATTATGGTCTTAAGACGTACTACTCTAAATAAATGTTCCAGTAAATTGAAGTGTACTCGCGCATAGTAACGCTTGAGTAGTGGAATGGGTAGTTTGCCTCATAGATAAATAAATATGTAGCAAACTAGTTTTCTCGATCGGAGGTATAAATAAGACGGCCGCGTTTTTGGATCCGACCGTCGGCACGTGTAAATATTGTGTTATATCGCTTATTGTTATATTTTGAGTATTGTTTTTGTTTTATTTTATTATTTACTTAGTTAGTCAGTTAGTTTACGACGGGCTGTTTTCCACAACTTCACGTCTAAGCGCGTATTTTGCCTGTGGGCAGGAATAATGTGATTATTCGAGCAATGCAATCTCCCCGAAGAAGTTAAACAGTCCTTTGATGATGCAAGCAACTTCGAGGAGTGATCTCGGCATGCCGAGATGTTTAGCCCTGTATGCAGTGACTTATGGACATGTCAGCAACAGGTAAGTCGCTGTTTCTTCCTCCCCCAAATATGGTAAATAAATGCACAAGCCCCTGTTCTTTTGAGAACAGGGACCCCCCCTTACTGTCTAGTTTAGAACGACCCCCCCCCCAAAATGTCCACACTGGACCTATTTAGGACCTTCGTCGCCGCCCTAAACCAATCTCTTGTCCTCCTTCGTAACGTCGTCCTCCCGGAAGAGCCACTTCATCCGGTAATCGCGGAGCAGCTGACTTCTGACGGAACAATGACGGAAGACATTTCCTTCACGAAAGTGAAGTCAAGGCGCGGCCGTAAACGTGCTGTGAAAAATCGCACCGTCCCGGCAGCCTCTGCCGCCACCCTCACCTCTGCAGCCCCCGCCGCTGCCTCAAACCCAGCAGCCCCCACCGCTGCCTCTATCCCCACAGCTTCCGCTGCTATCCCCGACCCCGCAGTCCGTCGTTGCCCCACTAATATCGTTAGACATCCCCCCGCTGTCCAAGCCAGCATCTCGCTGCGCCCTCACCCTCGCCAAAAAACAGGTCCCGCCCCTGTCTTTCTCAGAGACCAGTCTCAATTTACCCGCTTATCTAAAACCTGCTACGACGCAGGTATCAAATATGATCAGGCCACCAACCTCGGGAAAGCCATCAAAATAATCCCCCAATCCATCGACGACTTTCGTCGCCTCACCAGTTTCTTCACAGCCGAGCGTGTATCCTATCACACGTACACTCTTCCGGAAGAGCGTAAGGTTAGGGCCGTTATCCGCGGAGTTCTTTTCGAACTCTCGAATGACGACATCCTTGAGGACCTTAAGTCCCAAGAATTCCCAGTAGAGGCTGTGCACAAGATGCACAGCAGCAAGGGCAAGAGGTTCCCGCTTGCTCTTGTCATACTGACAAACGTGCTGGAGGCAACAGCCATCTTCCGGCAGGTACGCACAATGTGCAGCCTGTCAAGAGTGAAGCTTGAGCCCCCACATAGGCATGGTCAGCCGGCGCAGTGCCACCGCTGCCAACTCTATGGGCATGCGGCGGCAAACTGCTCTGCCCCCCCCCCCCTCTAGGTGCGTTAAGTGCCTAGACCCCCACAGTTCAAAAGAGTGACACTTTATTGCACCCACATCCCCACTCCGCAGCTTACCAACATGGAAGCCACGGTATGCAGGCTAGCCTTGACTGGACATCACTCCATCGTCATAGCCTCCTGCTATATACCTATTGGAACCCTCCCCCTCAAAAAAGATTTTGAGGCTGTCCTTGCATTAGGCAATTCAGTCATTTTGTTTGAAGATTTTAACTCCAAGCATACTGAATGGACCTGCCTTACTACTTCCCAG